ACACATTTTCTTAAGGGAGGAGAGAGAGGGTGGGATTGTGGGGAGAGGGGTTAGTGAAAGGAGAGTACACCTGTGTTAATTGAAAACATGTTTGCATAAAGAAAGCAAACGGTTTAGAAAGAGTAAAAGCGAATAAATTATATTTAAATAACTGACTTACATCAAAGCATTAGAGCCTTTAATTGTCACGTTGGATGATGTGGGAATGGAAGAAACTTCTTGCTCCGTTGTAGAGGATCCCAGTTCATTACTTGAAGAAGTAGATGAATCTTGAAACTCTTCATCAACTGGACTCTTGCATTTACTTGATTTACTAGTTGAGGGTTTGCTAGATTCTTTCCTGCTGTGTCAAGGAATACAGTAAAGAGCAATAAATATTTATCTATCATAATCCCATAAGAGGGACAGGGGGACAGGGAAAGAAGGGGACTGAGGGACAGGGGGACAGGAGGAGAGAAGGAGAGGAAAAGAAGGGGAGACATGAAGAGAGGAAGAAGAGAAAAGGGAAAGAAGGGGAGAGGGGTGGAGGGAGAGAGGGGGAAAGGGGGGAGAGGGAGGCAGAGAGGGGAAAAGGGGGAGGCAGAGAGGGGAAAAGGGGGAGGCAGAGAGGGGAAAAGGGGGGAGAGGCAGAGAGGAAGGAGAGGGGGAGAAATGAAGAAGTTACAGAAAAGGACTTAAATGTGCCAAGACGGGGAGGAAGAGAGGGGAAAAGGGGGGAGAGGGGGGAGGAAGAGAGGGAGAAAGGGGAAAGGGGGGAGAGGCAAAGAGGGAGGAGAGGGGGAGAAATGAAGAAGTTACAGAAAAGGACTTAAATGTGCCAAGACATTTGTCCCCTATGTCATTCTTTCATATGCACAGACATTGATTTTCTAACATACCTTGAAGTGCGTAAAGAACTTTTCTTTTCTGTTCTATTAAGGCAGGCATCAAGATGAGAATTTATTTTTCTGTGCTGGATCATGTCGCCGCAAACTGGACACTCAGCTGACAACAAAAGAAAATGATATTTTCATCAGAATGATTGTGATATTTACCCAAAAACATATCATACAGTAAAAGGTTTGAGCCTGGAAGCAACGTTTGATCATGTATCATCGCATCATCAGCAGTTGAAAACAGTCCTGGGATGGACCACAACAGAATTTCTCAAGATCACTCACACTCACATCATCAGGCAATGCAAACAAATTTACCAAAAACATAGAAAGACTGGAGATCAAAGGTATAGTTTGCAGCTCTGAAGTGTTCTATCAAAACAAAGATAAGCTGCTGTAAGATACATGAAGGCCTTCTGGCCAATAGAGGTTTTGCACTGCAGCCATGTTGCATGACAGGAGCAATAGAATTTTTTCCAATGAGAAAAAATTTTCTTTCTTATGCATAATATTTTCATTGTTCCTACCATGCAACATGGCTGCCATGCAACATGGCTGCCATGCAAAACCTCTATAAGCTAACTTTCCCGACTGACCTAACTCTGGATCTTGTGGCTGTGATGGTTGTCCTTCATCAGGTCTGTGTTCACTGATTACCACTGGCTGTGGTTCTGATGGCAGTGGTTCTTGCACCTGTTTTTCCATTTCAATGACAACAACCTCGGGGGTTGATTCTCTGCTGGAGTTTTCTTCCTCATCATTTTCAGCTACTTTAACAGGAATGAAGCCTTGCTCATTCTCTGTATCAAGTTTCTGTCTCTTTGTATTTGGGCTTGAAAAGGTGGCACTGTTTTGAGAGCTTGACTGAGCCTGTAAAATGAAAATGTGTGAATAAGACAAAGAATACAAATTACATGCACCACAAACTACCTTTGGTAAATTATTTTAAAAAGGCCAGAGTTCTTAATGTCTAATTTTTACAAGCAAATAAGTTAATAATATTATTAATAATGGTTTATTTAACAGATCCACAGGGTGGCTCTTCTCTGTTTAATTACAACAAAGAATACCTTTCTCCTTTTTGTGTTTGTCTGGGAGGTGTTGATGATTTTTTTATTTTTTGGCTCGCCACCTTTTTTGTCTACAGACTGCACACTTGTGACTTGCACAGTGCTTGTTGTTAGTTCCAACAGTTTTGTTCTGAAACAAACATGGAATAATTCTCAGGTGAAAACGGAAAAGATCATTTCTAGCAATATATATTTAAAAAGTTGTAACATACTAGAGTTTTGCAAAGGTACTGTGCACTTTCTGTCTGAGTTTTATAATATCTAGTCTGCATGCAATCTCTATAGTTATTAAAAGATTGGAGATTTCCACTTCCCATAAATAAACATTACCCTACATTCACAGCAGTCAGTCGCCTAAAAGGACAGACAAACGGTCAGATTGACTGACTGACAGACAGAAAGACCGACCAATCACATGATTTAACCCTTCAACTCCAGTGAGTGACCAAAAAAGAATTTCTCCCTACATTATCAATACAATATCAAGTAGCCAAGTGATGAGAATAAAGAACAATGTCAATTGGGAGATTATTAGTCAATCAAATGCTAGATTCTCCAAACTTACATCATAACAACTGTATGAAAGACAGTAAGGAGAATTATCACTAAGATCTTGGGAGTAAAAGAGTAAAAGATAAACAGACAGAAAGTCTGACATACAGACTGAATGACTGACAGACAATCAGACACACTGACAGACAGAGAGACTGAATGACTGATGGACAAATAAACAGACACACAGACATAATTTGAATATATCAACAAAGTTGAAATGGTAAATTGGACACCATTATGATTATAAAAGCTGTCATTTCGAGCGTTAGCCCTTAGCTCAAAACGTCAGCTTTTATAATCGTAACGGTGGCCAAATTACCATTTCAACTTTGTTGATATATTCAAATTATTTCGTTACCCCCACCGACACAGCCCCAAACAGTTTCTTTAGAAACTATCAGCCTTTAGACACACAGACAGATAGACGGACCGACAGCAAGGCAAACTGAATAACTGACTGACTCAGACTGACAGACCAATTCATTGCCTTACTGACTCACTAAATGATTGACTTACTAGTTAAGTGATTGACAGACTTTGTGGTTGACTGACTGACTGTCTGACTGGCTGAACCACTATCCTTGACGTGGTAAGGTTACATACCTGACTTTGATGAAACTTTTGACTAATTCATCCAACACCCTATTATTTTTTAAACTGAGAGGAGTGACTTTCTGTAAGGAAAAACAAAATAGAAATATTTTAAGATGGATCTAATAACAAAATTCGTAAAAATTGAACCAACCATTTGTCCAAATTAAGAATAAATACAAATGTATAAGAAGTGCATTTCCTGTCTAAGCTTGGAATAATATGGTTAACATATGAAATATCCCTTGTGATTATGGTACAATGTCCTATTCCTTTCTATTCCTTTAAAAGCTTTACAAAAAAATTGGGGAGACATCGAACCAACACTAATAAAAGCTTTTATATTGTTATCTCCATCAAAGATGGTTTCAAGTAGATATTATTTTCTCAAACATGTAACACGAAGTCATGCATGTACATCGTTCACAGGCTTCACATGTTCAAGTACAAAGCGAAATTGATAACAAAATGTTAGATAAAAGCATACCGACACTCACCAAAGAACAAGTGGGGCACTTTGGGTCGTAACTGAGGGATCTCCGGATGCAAAGTGAGCAATCTGGAAAGAGAATTTTGTGCGGTATTACTCTTTATAATTAAGGCCACCTAATATTCTTCTGCTTAAAATAGGCGCACTATGAGGAGAGGGCATCGCAAGTCCCTCTCTATAATTATGTTTCTCTCAAATATACATGAATACAACTTCCACAGATTTTAGTAATTTTTCCATACTTCGAGGTAAAAATTAATAAGTAAAATTCAACTTACAGTTATGGGAACATTCTGGAATTATCAAAGCTACGTCAAAAAATTCGTAGCAAATAGAACATCGCAGCAGATTGTCGATCGTCTGAAAATTAAGAATTTGAAAAAAATCTACGAATAAAACAAAATAATGTAACTAATTAATATTTTCGATGTTGAGACGGAGATATTTGTAATAAAATACCCTCATTTCTAGAAGAGATTCTGGCCAATCTGATGGACTCCATTCCGCTAACTTGGCCGAGGATCTTCTCTTTTCCATAAAAGACAACATATCGGCGAGATCACCAAGAAAATACATAAACAATTAATCAGAAACTCATTTCCTAAGAGCCGCCATATTGATACAAGAATTTGGCGCGCGTTCGTTATGTATTTTCATTGGCTGAAGTCAGGTTACCCTCTATGCTTTGTAACGATCGTTTTTTTCTAAAAGAAGCTGTCATTGGTCATAAATATTAACCAATAGTATACTACGATATAATATTGTTGCAATTATTGCGTCACAACTGGATAAAAACGTGCACAATTCAAGATGGAGGAATACGCGAGAGAGCCTTGGTAAGTTTATAGTTCCCTGCCCCTCTGATTTCTAGAATTTCTTCACAAAGGTAATTTTTTAGAGGTAAAATAACTGAATTATTTCCCTGAATTCCTTATAGTCCTTACCGTATCGTCGATGACTGTGGTGGAGCGTTTATGATGGGTGCCATCGGTGGAGGAATCTTCTCGTTTGTAAAAGGATGGAGAAATTCGCCGGCTGTAAGTTTTGTTTCGTTGCATTTTTGTACGTTGATCTTTAGGATATATTACTCCGAACAAAGTCGTAATCTGCACTGTATATGACTGAACTAGTGATACACAATGAGCTTCTTTCAGTTCTAATGGAATCGACATCATGGTCTGTACTTCTAATGTGCACGTAAGATCAGCTGATGAATTTTCAAACTTGATTGCAGCATTACAAAATATTATTTTCCCCTCATATCTATAAACTCTGACGCATATCACAGATAATTCAACCTTATGTCATGCCGGCGTTATACTTGATTGTTTTGTGGCTATGTTAGACGAAAATAAGGCAAGATTTCCGTATAACCCCGTACTTCATTATGCATTCAATTCTTGGATAAAGGAAAGCAGAGGCAAAACAACAGATTTCCTTTGGGACTACGGCTTTGGTTTTGATTGGTATAGGGTTATACGGAAATCTTTCCCTTCTACGAAGAAGAAACATAATTTTAGAAAATTTCACTATAGTCTTGCATACTTTATTTTGTTCATATAACTTTGTAAAGCTTTAATAAGTAATAGAGAAAATTCTTCTGTTGACAAATAAGATATATTTTCACGGAGATTGCTGAAGAAATGTAACTATGGGATGGTACCTGGGTGTAACACCAAATTGTCAGTCCTACCCAACAGGGAAATATTAGGTCAACTCAGGCATACGGCTCCTTTAACAAATATGTTTTGATGCTCATTATAGATTAAATAACTCTGGTATTTCTTGTAGGGGCAAAGACTTTATGGCAGTATAGGTGCTGTCAAAACAAGAGCTCCTGTACTAGGAGGTTTGTGCTTCAGTTGTTACATGCATTATTGTTAACTCAGTTTTATATGGGTATTAAACAATTTTTCATTTCAGGTAATTTAGCTGTATGGGGAGGTTTATTTTCTACATTTGACTGTTGTCTAATGGGAATACGTGGTAAAGAGGATCCATGGAACTCAATAGGTAGTGGTGCCATTACAGGAGCTGTATTAGCTGCAAGAGGTGAGTTATATTAACCACATTCCCCTCAAGATCTCAATGAGCCTAGAATATGGAAGTACATTTTCTCAGTTTGGAGCTGGATATTTTTGTGATTAAACATATGAGCATAAAAAAAAACTACAAGTAAATGTTACAATTAACAACTATTCCACATGTAGGCAATGGATATGAGATGGTAATTACCAGTAGCATGCACCAAGTTGGCTATAACTAATCTCATATCCAACAAGCACAGATGGAAAAGTTGCTTTGTGAATTTCATTAAATCCTTAACATTTGGATACTTAGAGCGTCATAAAGTGAGATTTTCAGCTCCACAACACTTGGGGCAATGCATTTCCATGTAAGGCAACTCAGATTATGAGCTGATAACTGGAGTTGAGTGAACCAATCAGAATACTAGAAATGTAATTTCTGTATTAAAAAGTTTAATTATGATAATGTATAATTGGCTTGATACAAATAGTGATTCCTCCCACCTAGACTTATGAAGCAAATGTGACCTATATACAGTTGTAGTTTGGTAATCTTGATCACTTGTCTGTGAAATGGGGGAAGCGTGCACTTATTTAATGATAGGTGCTGATTTACACTAACAGCAGAGACCTCTGACCTACACTGTTTGATGTACATTTCATAACTACCACTGATGATCAAAAATGGTGACAAAAAATGTAAGAGAGTTGTTGTGTGTGATATTTAGGTGGACCATCAGCAGCCCTGAGGTCAGCAGCATTAGGAGCTGTACTGTTAGCATTAATTGAAGGGATAGGAATTGGTATCACAAGAATGACTGCAGAACAATTCAAACCAGGTCTGTTGTCAAAATTTTCTTGGCTCAAGAAGAGTTTCCCTGCTGGGATCAATTTACAGCAAACTGTTAATTATAGATCAGTTGTAAATGAGGGTACTTTATTTGGGAAGTCTTCAGTTTCTTGAATTTAGGGCTGACTAGCATGCATGTTAATCGCTTTGCAAGTTATTAGGAAATGGTCCCTCAACTCCAGACCTGTCACTCCCCCAAACTCCCACTGGACTAGTCCCTGTCACTCCCCCCACCCCCACTAGTCTAGTCCCTGTCACTCCCCCCACCCCCACTAGACTAGTCCCTAAATTCCTTTGAATAGTACTGAATATGCCTTTGACAGCCAGTGCTGAGGAGTTTGGAGAAAGTGAAGGGGGCTGGAAAATAAATTAACTGGAGCTCTGCTTTTAGGCCTGGCTAAATCTATTAATTGGGTCAGTTATAAGTATTGTATATGTAACCTTTCTTCCTTGTATTTTAGTCATGCCGCAGCCTCCAGACCCTGCACAGCTACCTCCCAAACCATTCAACCCTACACCACAACCAATACAGCCAGGATCAGAATTTGATTATCAGCCACAGTATCAATAGGAAAAGGGATACAATGTAATTATGACAAATTTTTGAGGATGCTTTAACTGATGTTACAAAGCCCAGTTATCCAGTCTTTAAAGGAACAATGTTGAAAAAGGCAGGGCTTACTTTTTCTTTGCCTCCCTCTGGAAAGCCTGCACTGAAAGGACTGACTGGTAAAGGAGCAAGCCTTATGATGGGAATTTAATACTGGGAGCTGTGTTTGTTTGGCATTGTCATTAAAAAAAGGAACAACACACAGATGTGTGCCAGACATAAAATTGCTTCACGTTATGGTAATATAAAACAAAATGACAACAGAGGCAAGGTGTTAGTGAACTTGTACCTACACATGGCATCATCATGAACTTGTAACTAAGGATTTTGATAATTGTACAAACTGGACATGTTTGTTGCTTTGGTTTGCAACCCATTTGAGTAGTTTTGCTTAAAAGTAGTATTTTTTGTTTTGTTTCAATATCTGCAGTAAATACAATAAGCAAATGATGCTGTAGTATCCATGTTTTAAACTGAGTTTATTTAGAAAGTAGTGGAAATAATTTGCAGAATATTAAAGTTATTATGTTTTCAAGTATATTGGAGTGGTAATTGATGTTATTAAACTAAACATTATTTTATCCCCTTCCATCCTAATGTTAACGTTCATATTCTCCACACTGTTCTATATAATATATAGATTTAGCCAAGCCTAAAAGCAGAGCTCCCAAGTTCATAATATTAATGATAACATAAGAGATGTGCATTTGCTAAGACTTACCTGAGACACCCCTCCCTTCGTTTAGATAGTCTCCCCTACCCTACCCGTGCAATCTGAAGGGACGTACGTATGTACCTATGCTCAGTCAGTCATGTGACAATCAAATGAAAAGAGGTTGACCGTATTCCATGGGTATGGGGCTCTGCCCCATGCGCGCAAAGTGTGCGTGGGAGCCCTGCTACAAAGCAGTGATCATTTTCTATATTCTCATCAAGTGTACATTTGATTAAAGGGTGCAACTATAAGGAGAAATTAGAAGCCAGGGGCTCTTAATTAAGGGTAAAGGGTTCACTTACAAGATTTCTTTGGTGTGCAATACTTAATTTATAAGAGGAAAATGCATGAAGTTTATTACAAAAGGAATAATCGAAATGGGAAGAGAGGGAACAATTATGTTTAAGGGTCGGGAAAAAAAAACATTTTGGGCTGGAAATGATCATGGGAAAAAATTTGGGTACAATTCTCCAGATGCTTAATCAAAGCTCCAACCATTAACTCTAAATACCTTATTTATTTGCCATGTTAAATACTAACAAAAATGATTAAGTGTATTTTGCAGTTTAAGTTTCTCTGATATTGGTCATGACTGCAGAGCCAAATGTTTGAAAAACTAAACACAGAAAAACAGTTTGCATCGATTAAACAAATTGTTTTTGGTTCAAATTATGTTTTCAAAGGATTGATTTACATGTCATCTTGATTATTTCAAATATTACTACAGTCAAACCTCGATTATTCGGACCTTGATTATCCGGACTTTTTGATTATCCGGACTTTTCGATTATCCGGAGTTTTTCTCTGTCCCGTTTTTTTCATGATTATTAATGAGCTTTGATCTTCCAAACTTTATGAGGTAAAAAAATTCAGAGATTATGCCTAAATTCAGGAAAAGTGCATTTAAAACAGCGCATTACCTCCTCCGCTTTCAAAAGATTGAGCACTCGGAGAGTCATTGAAGCAGACTTTTAGAATTTAAAGTGTGTCATCTTTATTTCTTTTGTTTACATTATTGTCTCATTAATATGATGAATATGATCCTACTGCGAGGATCCTGCATCATACGTGTCTCATTAATGTTCATATTTTCGATTATCCGGACTCTRGATTATCCGGACTGATTACCTAAGTCCCAACAGGTTCAGATAATCAAGGTTTGACTGTATACATGTACCTATGTATTTTATCTCTGTGTAGAAACACAAGGTATCTCAAGTTAACTTTTCAAGAAACTTACAAAGATTAATTTTTTTTTTTAAGTAAGAAATCAAGAAGTCAACAGATTTGGGAAGAGTTTGTTCGCTAGTGAATCTTTGGATGTTTGCTGATAACTTAAAAGTGTTTAAAGTTACTTCAGCTCTAGAGCAAACAAGTTATCTCAATAGTCCTTTTTACAGTTGAGCTCGGTGGCCAAGCCTTTGAACTGGAGTGAGGCTAAGGGAGATCTTGCTGCTTTTCAAATGCAAATTACTTTGTTATCATGCTAACTAGATACAGGTCTCTAACACAACAGGGTCACACTTAGCCTCACTCCTCTTCAAAGTCTTGGCCACCAAGCCCACAACTGTAGAAGGGACTATTCTAATTCTTCTTACTTGAACTATTTATCTTGTTTTTATTAACACTTTTCCTGTTGATTTCCTTTGCATCACAAACTTAAAAGCTTCATTTGCCTGAAACAAAGAATAAAACAGCATTTGAGTAATCCTGGTAGCAAGAGAATGCACTGTTTAGTAGTCAAGATGTGAGATTCCCTCATTGCTGCTTTGTTACTATGACCTGTAGAATTAATGTTTAAGCAAGCTGCTTTAACCCCTGGAGAGACCAGCATCTTGCTTCTCCTAACAGTAATACTGTTGAATCATTCATTAAGATCATGAAGGGCTAACTCTCAAAACGTCAGCTTTTATAATCGTAACGGTGGCCAATTTACCATTTCAACTTTGTTGATATATTCAAATCATAAGAATAAAGGACAGGACTGCCAACCTAAGAAGCTTGGATTGTTAAACAAATTCTCCTTGTCAGTAACAAATCAAATTTATAGACAAGAGTATGGAGAATATCAATACTGATGTTATGTTTAAAAGGGTTGAAGAATTTGTAATAGAAAATAGAAATAGCTTAATATTCTATTTTATGTTATTTACCTGGTCTAGTTCAAACTCTCCAGAGACATGTGGTCCTTTGAGCTTACCCTGTTCTAGAAACTCCAGTGATTTATTGACAGAATTTCTCAGTAATGCAGGGTTGTGTTTCATGTGTGCTCCCTGGAAATCGAAAGGCATAATACTGTTGCAATGTGGTGCTAGTAATGATTTATAACCCCAAAAAAAGGAAAAATCAAGCTGTAAAAAAACAGACACCAACTGGTGCATTGTACTTACCCAAAACAATCCAGCTGTGAGAAAAAAAGACAGATTGTAAGTAACAGCTTTTAGTCTTGACATCTTTTGACTCTAAGAGCTGTCATCTTTAGCAGAATAAAGATAAGAGTGAAACTCAACCTTTTCAAGCTCAATCATATTGCATATAATGTGTTATGAAGAGGGAGGTCTGTCAGGACAGGTTACAAGAATGCAATTAGCCACTTAGATTTGAGGATTTAACACTCCAACCTGCTGAGATGTTTGAAAAAAAATAAACAGTTGTTCTAAAATTACCTGCCGAACAGTTTTTCACCAAGAGAATATTTGCTGGGATCTGAAATATAACAACAGAGGAACTAATTTGCAACTAGTCATAGAACAAACATTTTCATACAATGCAACATCTACTTGATTGAGCAATGTTATAAAAGAAATTAAATTTAATATTTTTAAGAAGGTCCACACCTGAGGAATTTCTCCTGAAGCGAACCCAACAGGAAGAATAACACCTCCCCATGCAATGCTTGAAAGGAAAAATAATGTTGGAAGTTATTCACTCTGGCATGTTAGCTTCCATCATTTGAAACTCAATTAAGACATTTTGGGCTTTGATGGACAGGTATAATTATTTTCCAGCAGTGAAGGTGGTAATCTCGCCATAAAGCAGTTAGCACAAGTCCAACTCTCCCTCACCATGGCACAACACCCATTATTTCTACCAACATCTAAGTGTATGTCATGCATGAGATGTCCAAAACATTATTTCTGCTAATGATAACCCAAAATCCCAAGATTCAAGCTACAAAATGTTCATACTTCTGTAGTACTAATCTTACATATAAAGAAATTTATTATTAAAAAATAATTTTTAATATTTACCATTTCAGACACTCTGTAAATACTTTTCCTCCAACAGCTTCCATGATCACATTTGCTCCTTTGCCACCAGTTAGTTCTTTAACCTGCCACATAATACAACTAATCAGAGATGAAGAGAGTGTCAAGAAATTCTTCCTGCTGTCTGCCACACATTTCTTATAAGGTTTCAGTTCTGAGAATTTGGTGTTGGATCAACTAATAATCCCCTCATGCATATTAATTTTTTCTCTCTTCTCATCACTTGTCTGGTTAATATTGTATTGATATTGTATAGAGAAATTCTGTTCTGGTCTCTGAGGGAGTTAAAGAGTTAACAAGAAAGATTACCTTTTCTTTTAAACTGTCTTTGTTGTAATCAATTGTGGATGAGGCTCCCATTGTTGTAACAACATCAAGCTTGTCTTTACTTGCAGCCCCAATGACCTTAAAAGCAGAGCCAGACTCTCGTGAGGATCAGATGATACACAATCTTCTGAAAAAATATAATCCCTCATAACTGGACAAGCTGATCACAATTCTAAGAGCATGAAACAAATAGGATGCCTTTCCAGGTTAACTCTTATAGGATCCAATGAGAAAAAGATGGCTATATCAAGCCAAGATCTTGAAAGGCAGCTTTTGCACTGCCCTCTTAATTCAACACATTGAAATCTTCACAAAGAAGAAAGAGACCAATGGAGATATTTCAACCTGAGTCAGGGGGAGGGGTTTAATCGGGCTCATATGTAGAGGCCCTTCCAAGTGAGATTCTCACTCAAGGACAAACCTTTGCTCCCAGTGCATTTGCTGCTAAGTCAACTGTTGCCAATCCCAATGCTCCCGCAGCAGCTGTTACCAACACTGTTTGACTACAAATAAAACAAAGCAGGCTTTGATTTGACCATTTGCGTCTCAACATTAATTGCCTAATCTGCCATCAGACGCATGGAAATTAATTACATTGAAGAGTAAAGCATCTGTAGAACAGTTATCAAAGGAGAGCAAGTGCAACAATGCAATAGTCAAAACTCCCCCAAAGAAAAAGAACAACTGATCACATGCTCCTTTCTGTCTCTGGTGTATATTTGTCATAATCACTCATTGCTGAGAATGTGGTGTCAAAGCAGAGAATTGAAATATCCCCTTGTTGATGCATCACCATGATAAATTGCTGTGCCTATTTTTTTTTTGAAAAAATTTTAACTTGTCTTCTGAACATGACCTACTGATCATTATATCAGTTGGACAGAACAATATCAAGTCTAATTATAAACCCCTTTTTAAAATATAATAAAAATTATGTAACTCTTAAAAGTGATGCATGAGTAACTTCAACTAAAAACAAAAATATTTCTATAAGGCAAACAGACAGTGAGAGTAGACATACTTATCAGCTTGAAGGTGTTACATTCATTTGATCAAACACAATTCCCTTGTAAGAGATTAAAAGGAAATGTATGGTAACCAGAAGGAAGGTGTACAAATCAAACTTTAATCCATGTTTGGGGATGGTCATAAAATAATTAAATTCATCAAAACAAGTCTTCACATTGCAGATATGTTATTTACCCAGGTTGTGTGTTTGACTTGGTAGTGAGTCCAACATATGCTGTACCATATGATACTGCAAGTGCTGCTGCAGCATTATACCCAACACTTGAAGGAATTTTCCACAAACCCTGGAATCAGCATAAAGGCATGGAATCAGATTTAAGCACCATTAGAAACACATAGTTGTTGAAATGTATTCATTGGGAAGACCTATAAATTAAACTCACACTCTGTTCGGCAATGCACTCCTCGGCAAAACCACCAATTGGTATCAGACCAAACACTCGGTCACCCTGAAGATCAAAATTATTTAAGTCAGCTGATAACTGATTCATATTTCTTCCAATTGAGTGATAGAACCTCCTAACTGTGAAGTCAGAGTATTCCCAAATGACTGTCACCTCCTCTGCTTACTAGCAAAGCAAGGGTGGAGAGGATCAGAGCACTGCTAGTTTCTCCCTGAATGAGAATCTACATAACAATAAGTGCGTCAGTCTGCTCTTGAGCCAGGACTGACCCACAAGGCACTGATGCATGTTTATTCAAGTTTTTGTTGCACGAAGCACCTTGAGAGTTTTCCCTCTCTTGATGGAAGGGGTATGACTCCATCCAAGTTATAGCAAAGCATCAGGCTTTCCAGACAGTTTGTGGCTTACCATTTACACTCCTAGGACTAGCAGAGGGGAACCATGACAGTATCTTGTCTATGACAGTAAAGTGTCTTGCCCAAGAATAGAGACATGGCTTAACCCTTTAACTCCCCTGAGTGACCAAGACATAACTTCTCCTTACATTAACAATAAAAGATCAACCAGACAAGTGATGAGAATTAAGAAAAAATTATATCAATTAAGGGATTACTAGTTGATCCAATACTAAATTCTCTGAACCAATAATAAGAATTGGATACCAGACTGTAAGGAGAATTACTAATGAGATCTTGAGAGTGAATGGTTTACAGTTAGTTAGCACACTTCAAACCAGAGCATAGGTCCCACCTGTAGACCATAGTAAGATATGATGGCTTGATGGAAAGGGTACTAGACTCCGGCAGGGCTCGACACTAACTTTTCAGCTTACTAGCCAAGTGGCTAGTGACAACTTAGATGGTATGACTATTTCACTTAGTTTAAACTAGCCAAACTGGCTAGTTGGAATCAAAAACCACCTTCCAAAATTGAATTTCAACCAGTCTGTGGCTAGTTGGGTACCTTTAGTGTTGAGCCCTTCGCCAGGTTACGTGTTTAAGTCTTAATTGGCCTGGTTATTCTGTTGTGTTCTGGAGCAAGATGCTTTACTCTCCAGTTTATTCCTCACAATGCAAATGGTTACCAGAAAACTTTTAAGGTGAACTAGCCAATTGCATTGTGGAGAGGGAGGGTAACCTGTGACTGGGGGAGGGTAGCCTGTGATGTACCTGCATGGGGGGGAAGGGGGGTTAACAGTAATTGCATGGGGAGGAGGGAGGGGAACCTGTGATGCACCTGCATCAGGAGGAGGGGGAATAAATAGCAATATTTGAATTGTTTCAAGGAATTGAAACTTGGAAGAGCCCTGTGATGATGGGTAATTTGGGGTAAGTCCAGACTTCATGAATACCTAGTCACCTTTGATAACTGTTCTACTCCTTCTCCGGTTTCAATCACTTCTCCAGCTATCTCAGCACCTGAAAAAACAAGATACACATCAATCACAATCAAGAAACTAGCAAGGGATTTTTCATATCTACAGCTCTGGTGTGATGAGTGCTATACCTTTCTGATCCCTTGGACTATAACAAGCAATTTTACAATCATTAGTGCCAGTATTGTTATGGGATAAGTACCAATATTGTGACAGTCATAGGGAGGGTACTAATATTGGAATGGGGTGGAAACCAGTATTACAATAATGGCTGAAGAAAGAAACAAAATTAAGAATTTCAATATCACTAAAAAGCCCAGTTAGCGAAGAAGAAAGTTCTCAAATGCCAAATTATAAGCAAGTATCCTACATAATTTTGTTCAGGAAATTTGTTAAGTACACAACACTTTGAATGAGATACTTAAGGGAAGAGAATATAAGAAAAGAAAACAAAGATTTGTCATGATACATGTAGATTAAGCAATAAACTGCACTTTCTATCCTTCTATGAAAAGTTAAAGTTTATAAATCACAAGCCAGAAGATTTTGATTTAGAAACTTTCCGAGTTTCTCAACCAATAGAAAGTGTGGTCTTTTGTTTTTAGAAACTGCACTATGGGTCTAACGAGGGTTTTTTAACCAATCAGGGTTCTTGAAGTATCTCAGTTATTTTATAGTTTACAATTAAGGTACATGCCTGGAATAAATGGTAGATTTGGTTTATCTTGATATTTTCCCAGACACATAAGTATGTCAGCAAAGTTGATACCACAACTATGGACTGCAACTCTCACCTCAAATGAAATATATAGTAGATTACTTTTTAAAGGAATTGACGATATCTTTATGAACACCATTATCATTCCACTACTTACCGGTATAAATTGTTTTCTTTTATTGCGGAGAGGGGGACGGGAGAATGGTTATCCCTTTAACTAAAGATATCTAGTATAAATATTTAACCCCTAAGAGTGATTGGTATCTAGTTTCTTCCTACACTATCACCCCATCAAGGTCTGGAGAATAAAGGAAATGATCACCAAGTAAAAAATACCAGGGCTTGACACTAAGAGTAGCCAACTAGCCACAGACTAGAAGAAATTCAGCTTTGGTGGGTGGTTTTCAATTTCCACTAGCCAGTTTGGATAGTATAAACAAACTGAAATTGTTGTAACATCTAAGTTGTCACAAGCCACTTGCCTAGTAAGTTGAAAAGTTAGTGTCAAGCCTTGAATACATTGATTGTTAAACAAATTCTCCTTGTCAGCACCTGAAGAAATGCATAGAAAACAGTATGGAGAATATGCATACTGATGTTAGGCTGTAAATGATTAGAAGATTCTCCTTTCTTGCCACCCTTCATTTCTCAAGCAAAGAAATGATCCTTGTAGGTGAGCTGCAATGTATGCAATATTGCAGAAAAACATGCCTTCATACTCTCCTCACACTCAAATTATGCTTGCCTCAACTTGCAGGAAAAAGGCAAAAGTATGGCTGCTGCTCTGCAAGCTAACTCCAGGAAAAAGCTGATTATCCTTCCATCTCTCCCTCAGCAAAAAGAGGTTTCTTTCAAAAATGGCTCAGTAGGTAAAAGTCACTAACACATGTACACCCTTAAGAAAAAAGTTTTTGGCCCCACCCCTCTCCCTTCCTACCCTGAGACGGGGAGAGTGAGTAGAGATTTAGAACAGAATGGGGCGCATATGATGAATGAGAATGCTTTTTCTAAGCCTGATGTCACGTTTAATGAAGTGGCTTTGGTTTTTCTGGGTATCATGCAGAGGAATTCGAAAACAAAACACAACATCTACATTCTGCGACTCTAGAATAAGGCGAAACATGAAGTTACCTGAGAGGATTTGAGTTTCTCCGCTGCAGGGACTTGCTCCACGACAAGAGGTTTTCCAAGTTCCTTGCACAAAGCAGCACGGTACATCCTTGGTTTACCAAAACTAGGTTTAACAGAAATAATCTCGGCATTTCTTGACGATATGCTGCGCGCCACTGGTCTTAATAGTCTCTCTGGAACAGTACGAAATGCCGCCATCTTGGATCGGAAGGTCTTGGCACCAGTCTCTCACCGAAAAGATGGCGCATACAGTGCAGTCGTTTTATCTTGTAGACCAGTCATTATTCATCGCCTGGACTCCCAAGAGGGGGTGGGCGGATTTTGGCTGTGTAAAGATAAAATTTACCTGACCTCCTCCCCATAATACTCTGTAATTTTCTTATGACCCCTCCTCATTTGCAATCAATTTTCTATGCCCCACCCATACATACTTTGTTGTTGAAGACTGATCCGCTCTCCGTTCGCCCTGAAAACCTTGTTATCTCCCACAAAAATCTTCCCTGGCTCCCCCAGGCGGTAAATAATGAGTGCTATCTAGAGGATTCATACTTTCTCCATTTCCGTTTGTGTGGAGGAAGAGCACTCCCGGCAAATTCTGAAACTCTACACTCACGCGATGCATTACACTGTATTTTGAGGTCTAGTCTCAAAAAGGTCAACCATTTAAAAAAAAACATGTAAGAAAAATGTGATCTAAGCAGAGCATTTATCTAGACCTAAGAGGAAGGCAAGGGAAGGCGTCAAAAAAACTCACTTAAAAATGAGTTTTTTTGACGCCTCCCCTTGAGTTCCTCTTAGATCTCGATAAATACTATAGGCGCCCTTTCTGCGTTCTGCACACGAAACTTTCTTCCGTCCTCCGTCCTTTCTGTATACCGAGTGCTTTGGATCAGGTTAGGAAACCTTATATATTCTCGTGTTGGATATGATCAACCTCGTTCCCATCGCCTTATGGGAATGAGTCTGAGATATAATTGTGCAGACATAAACACTAATGAATATAAAAAGCCAAGTTTTAATGTCTTGGTTTCTAGCAACTCTTGTTATATTCTTGTTCCTTGTGTTTTTCTTACCCTGAAGAATACATCGTATTTTGAACGTTGAATGAATTATATATACACTGTATTGTGATATTGATATATATAGTATGAATTGATCAACGGTATTGTTAACAGTGCATATTGTCTCTTATCTAGACATCTTCTTATTTAAGGATAGCAACGTCTTGATTGTCAGCTCAAATATATCACAGTAAATCTTACGGTATTTGCACGGTTTAAAAGTAAATATTGACGTCCAGACTGTTATTCTGTAAAAAAAACACACATAACCTTTAAAAAGAAATATTCAAGGCCTTTCAAAGTCCTCAGGAAAATTAAAATGGAAGTCTCTTTTATTTGGGTAGCAAATCCTCAATAGATTTCCCTTCCATGAGTCGCTTTTCCATCTGAACGAGAAGCTTGACGCCATCGACAACTTTCTGAACAAGTTCCACCTCAGAGAATCCCAGACGGTCCAAGTTAGACACGTCAAATGTGCCGTCAGTAGATGCAGTGTCCACGCCTCCTGTACCACGCTTCTGAAGTCGCAGCTTCTTCAAGACATCTTCAAAGTTTGCGTCTTTCGATAACGATGGAAGCTTGACATGCACGCCAGCGCGCAGGCCCGTGCCGAGGTTAGAAGGACATGTGAGCACAAACCCGAGATGTTTATTCCACATAAATTCTTTGCCTTCATTTTTCATGGCATTCTCGATCTCTTTAAGACTTTTACAAAATCGAGTGAAAACCTCTCGCATGTTCCCGCCCTTTTGCATAGATATGACGCGGGTGTGATCTTCCTCGTTTACCCACACCAACACTGTCTTCTCATCATTGTGCCAGATCCCGCGGGCATCGGGCCAATCACGGCCCATCTTAGCAGACAGCAGCAAAGGTGAAACTGGCTTATCAAATAGGAAATGATCTTCTATCAACTGATCCTGCTCCTCTGGGGTCATTTTGTTCAGGGGGTAGTACTTTCCTTGTAAATCTCCTTTCAGCGAGTCCAACGCCTTCACCACAATCTTCTCAACTTCCCGTCGTTCTGCACGGGTGCAGTAAGGTGGCAATGTCAGACCCCGGATGCTACGCCCAGTCCTCACTCTGCAGGAGAGTACAAATTCATCGTCCAGATCCTCTCCTCCAATAAGATTGTTAGGATTCAGATCTGTCTTATGAAGTGCGTCCTTGCTGTATCCGTTATGGCGCCCCTCTATCACTGGGTCAAAAAGGTCGGCGAATACATCGTAAGTTTCTTCGTCACCTGCCACACAGCCCACGGTCATGATGTACGGGTGGCCAGGATTGTCCACACCTGTTTGTATGGCTTGGTCGAGGGTGTAACCTGATAGTGTTTTGAGACCGCAGAGCCTGTCGTAAATTTCTTTTGTCAGACACCTGGACATCCAGTTGTTGTGCGTTGAGAGATCAGGGAAGTTATCTATCTCCTTCGTTTCATTTCCTCTATTCCCAGCTTGGTCAGCAATGTCTCTGGCGTGTTTACCCGACATGAGCTCTTGGTAGAGGCTGGCGATAGGATTTCCAGCCTCAAGGCATTTTTCCATTTCAATTAACAGACGGACTCCATCCACAACACACTGCACCTGCTCTACTTCCGAAGATCCCAGTCGGTCCGCGTTGGAAATGTCGTACGTTCCTCCGACCGCTGCCGTGTCCACCCCACCGACGCCACGCTTCTGGAGGCGAAGTTTCTCCAGGATGCTGGCAAATTCTTGCTTTTGACTAAGAAGCGGGATTTTCAAGTGTACCCCTCCTCTCAGTCCTGTCCCAAGATTAGATGGACACGTTAAAACGTAACCCAAATGCTCGTTCCACATAAAACCGTACCCCTTGGCTTTAATAGCATCTTCAACTTTGTTCAGTCCATTGCAGAAGCGCTCGAAAACACTCCTCATATTTCCGCCTTTCTCCATCGAAATGACTCGAGTGTGGTCTTCTTCGTTGACCCAGATAAGAAAGTTCTTTTTCTCATTATGCCAGATCCCGCGGGCGTCCGGCCAGTCTCGTGCCATTCGGGATGCGAGCAGAAGAGGAGACACAGGCTTGTCAAACAAGAAGTGGTCTGCTATGAGCTGCTCTTGTTCTGCATCTGTCATCTTTGCCAATGGGTAATACTTCCCTTTCAATTCGCCATCAAGCGAATCCAAAGCCTCGGTGACGAGGGATTCAACTTTGCGCCGCTCAGCTCTTGTACAATGGGGCGGCAGGCCCAGATTCTTAATGCTGCGCCCAGTCCTTACGCGAGACGATAGAACGTACTTCTCATCAAGTTGTCCACCAATCAGATTGGCGGAATTCAAGTCGGTTTTGTGGCGATCTGTTTTCTTGAAGCCTCCGTGTCGCTTCTCAATAACTGGGTCAAAAAGATCCGCGAAGACATCATACGACTCTTCATCTCCGGCGACGCAACCGACCGTCATAATAAAGGGATGGCCGGGGTTATCAACACCTGTCTGAATCGCTGCGTCCAAAGTGAATCCACCCGGGGTCTTCTTGTCACACAGTCGCCCATAGATCTCAGGTGTAAGACATTTTGCCATCCAGTTGTTATGTTGCGACAAGTTAGGGAAATTGGGAGGAGCGGGGGCACTAAGAAGTCATAAAAAAGAACAGTCAAAGGTGGGGACATTCCTAAGCGACAAGTCCGTGCGAGGTGATGCCTGGACAGCTCGAAGCCACAATTCATTTCGGATGACAAAAAGGATTCTGGTGACAATCTTTATTGCTGTGATTGAATTTGGTACAACGAGCAAGTCGCAGTCAAACTGCTTTCTATTCGCATACACAAGTTATTACAGCCAGGAAATGAATTGCAGCAACTTGTTTTAAAGCCAAAACAGAGAGGGTTTCAGGAAGGTACCTCGCGAACCATGTATACTTACCTTTTGTTATCGGTCGCCTTAGCAGGCGACGTAGTTGCCGTTTGCTTTTTCGTAAGTTTAGAAACTGGCCCTGCATCAGGAGAGGAATCTAAACAAGGTAAATGCAAAGTCAGAGAAGCGGTGAAATCAGTATAGCACAAATCAACTGAGCAATTGCCCTCCATGTTTCTGAAAATGAAATTTATCGTACAACATGTTCCGGTTCCGTTTTTTTCAAGGGTGGATAGCACTATCCACTGGACAAATCCAAATCTGGTGGATAGCGCGGTACTTTTCTTTTAATTTTATTTATTTACAAGTTTTGCCGTCAGGCAGGGACACCGCAACAGCTTGCGCCAATCACTGCGGGCTCAGTAACCACCCATCCCATCCAGGGGAGGACATCCATCACACAGTAATCTCGTGCGTGGGAAATGAACGTCTCCTACCCCTAACCCTGCAGGAGACGGGATCTCCACTTATTCGTCCCTATCCGAGAAGGATAGAATATCTGACCATTTCTTGATGTTATAGAGAGGTAGCAAATTCTTCTCAATTAATATTAAGACCATGAGTATTGATCCGGCCGGGGCTCGAACCCTCGACTTCCCGCACAACAGTCCGGCGCTCTACCAATTGAGCTAACTAGGAGGCGGTCGAAAGAAATAATCTAAATCTGGTGGATAGCGCGGTACTTTTATTTTAACACATATCCGCTGGAGAGCGATTTATCCAGTGTATAGCATTATTCGCCTTGTGAAAAACCCCCTCATTTAGTTGTGTCCTTGCGCAAGGCACGTTAGTAAAATTCGCCTCTTGTGAATAAGTGATGGACTCTGAAAGCGCTCACCTTTCAAATTCGGAGAACGGAGTTTGGAGCCTCCGCAACCCATCTCGATCAATCCCTCAACAGCCTGCTATGTTTCCTAAAGGTACAACTGCCAGGGTTTTTCTAAAGCTTATTGAATACGATCAGCGCGTGCTTCTTTGATTGTTACTAAGTAATTGACTGTGTCACAATTAATAAGTGCTAATTATAATTAGCGCATTGTTTTGATGATGTCATCGAGAAGAATCTACTTTAAAATTTATGAAAGATTTAGCAATTCTAATCAATGAATGCAGGTTTCTAAAGCTTATAATTGAATTTAGCTATCTCCGTTAACTTTAGAGTTACCTTCACGAGTTACCTTCAAGAGTTACCTTCACGAATCATCGGGGTAAATATTCTTCTCAAAAAATCAGCACCTTGTTGAAGGTCATCAGAAACGAGAAAATTATCATCAAAGAGAAATTACCCAGATCCTTGACAAATTATCGCAAGTTTTGAAAGGAATGTATGGAGACAGGTGAATAGAATATCTGTGTTAACAACAGGGCGATAATTACTGGTAACGTGTAATTCCTTTTTTTTAAAGGCTGATAGTTCCTAAAGAAACTGTTTGGGGCTGCGTGGGTGGGGGTAACGAAATAATTTGAATATATCAACAAAGTTGAAATTTTAAATTGGCCACCGTTACGATTATAAAAGCTGACTTTTCGAGCCCTTCGTCGGAGCGAATAGAGGAATGGTGGGTTGTGTGTCCATTTAAAGGCAGAAGATGGAGCTACGTTATTGGTGGGAACATGGCAACGAGAAAAACATGAATAAATTAGTGGAATGAAAAGCATTCGTTGATACCTGTGGGGTTTAGACTGCCGGTTTGAAAGATGACCTTTTGTTCAAGAGTTTTTTACGGCTTTCTGTGCTACTTAAGTGTAAGGAAAGACCGCAGATTGCCATATGTTGCTTAAAATGATTAGGTAAATTAAAATGTCTAGCGACTGGTTTCGATGTGTCCTTGTCATTCCTCTCTACGTCGCGAAGGTGTTCTCGGAATCGGTCCTTTTTTTTTTTAGTCATTCATGAACTCTTCACTTTACTCTGCTGTTGACTTCTGCCTAGATTCTTGAAATGTCAGGCACCATCACCAAAACAGTCCTTCTCAGGACTACCGTCACCCGTACGATTAGACTGTACACGATGATTCCCCCCAGGTTCGTACCATTTCCTGTATTAAGTGTTTCGTCGTAACTCTCAACTTAAAGTTAAAACATTGACTAAAAAAAAAAACAATGATAAAAAAATATAAAAAACTGGATGGGTCATGTCATGCTCACTAGTTACTAGTTTGAGCACTCTGGCATGGCCTATGTGGAATTATTTGGGGTGGCTATATGGTTCAATCTCCATCCTAGAATCAGAAAACTAATACCCACTTACGCTAAACTACAACTTTATAAAGCCGCCATTTTACCTCACTTGACCTACTGCAGTATCATCTGGCATTTCTGCAGAGCCTCAGACAAACTTAAAGCTAAAAGACTACAGGAGAGGGCCTTGAGAGCAGTTTTCAACGATAAATCACTCTCTTATGACGGCCTGCTGAAGCTGGCTGAAATTCCATCACTGGTGAACAGAAGGCTCCAGGACATAGCAATCCTTATGTTCAAGGCAAAAAAGAACTTACTTCCTTGTCAAATACAGGAACTATTTATGTCAGAAGTAAACTGCGATAGAAGATATTCTCTAAGAAATGCAGATTTTAGAATCCCTCGCTTTAATACAGTAAAATATGGTAAACACTCTATAAGATACTATGGCCCTCTCCTCTGGTCGAAACTTACAAAAGAGTTACGCAGTGAAGACAGCCTGCACGGATTTAAGAGCAAAATCAGGAGAACGGACATGACTGTC